GTTACATTTTGATGCCTGGTTTAAGATTTTAGCTGATCAGGAAATTTCCAGCATTTAAAATTTATAATTCCAGCCTTCCTGGGTAATCATTTATCATTTATATTGGAAGCTGTGGTGATGCTACTCCCTGCAGTGAAATATGCTTTTAATATGTTATAATGAGGGCAGAGTAAACAGTAAGCTGATATTTCAAACTGTCTATGGTCTCATGTTAGCAACTAGCATATTAAATGTGGTTAGAATGACTTTCTATGGTTAGAATGACTTTAATTTAATATCATCCATTGAGGCCAGTCAAACTTTACTCGGCTGTAAACAGTTTGCTATAACTGACCAATCAGAAGAGAGAAAATGATGATGTAGGAGTGGGCCCTTTAGCTGGGCCTGTGAAACAAACCTGAAATCTGATTGGTTGAAGAAAATGTTCCTGAAATCTGATTGGACAAAATATGTATAAACATAGCAACCACATAAATTTAAAGTAAGTAGTGCAGCTAAGAGACATACAATAAAATTAATAGAATGGATTGTTTGGAATAAATTAATACAGTTGTATGGAGAAAATTTAAGTTGAAGTTGTGAATGTAGGTCTCATGGGAAAAAAGTATTCAACTATTCACCCTAGTTAAATAAACGGAGATGGATGGATTTCACTCAGTCGGCACATTTATTCATATCTTTTTAAAGAGAGAGCAGTTCATAAAACAGCCCTAATTGCACAGCATTCTGCCCTGTTCTGCCCGAGCAGCGTTCGTTCCCCCTTACATACAACAATGGAAAAGTAGTCAGAGTCAAAACAAATAACAGACACTTTGGTTAAACAGTAATATGTTATGAATAAACCTTGAGAAAGAATCTGGTTTGTTATGGGAAGAAGCTATGTCTGGTCTACAAACACCATCCTGCAGAGTGTGGCATTGAAAGTGAAACAGATTGAGTGAAAGCTTTAATAGTGAGTAAATAGGATACATTTATATTCTAATTAAAAGAGAAATCTAAATTTTCTGACAACATAGGTTAGTGTTTCTGATTGATTTTAGGCCAGCAGTGAAGGCCTTGAAGGCCCTGAGCACCTACCACTATTAAAGGCTATCTGTATATTACCTGTATAATGTGAACCTTTACCATAACCTCACAAATAGAAAATTAAACCTCCAAAGGAACTGATCTGCACTGGTTCATTGATTGGAAAACATTACAGATTTCTTTCTGCAGATTGTAACCAGTTACTATAGTTTTATATATATAAAAAGAAATCAGGTTCTGATGGGAAATGAGAAGTTGTTAGTTACAGTTTTCAAATAACTACATCAGTTATCCTTTTTTATCATGCTCAATTATAATAAAAAAAGGAACTGTCTTCAGTTAGCCTATTATAGCTCACCTCTTAGACCCATAGGCCTCCTCTCAGTCCTTGTTGTCACAGCTAATTTTCATAAACGCCTTCTAATGTAAAATGAAGGAAAGCGGCTGCGTTCCTCCTTCTGTTCCACCTGTCTTCTGTTCTCACTTCCTCGCTGCCAGAACTTCCTCCTCAGTTGATGGCTGTGACTCATCGCTGCTGTATGCTCTATTCCTTCAGGCATACATGTAGGATATACATTTTAGTTTCTTCGTGATTAAACCATTTAACCTGACGTGTCTATAGTCTTTTTCCCAGTCCGTCTTCCTCCATCTACAATCCTTTCTTTCATTTTATATTTTTCTTCTCATTTCATTTTCTCAGTTATTTCTGCAGCGTTGCCTTCTTTTTTCTTTCTGCTCTGACTCACATTCACTCATACATATTTTCCTTTTGTTTTGCCTCATGTTCCACACAAACACCTGGCCATCATTGTCTCATAGAGACAGGAGCATCACTATAGGTAGGATGCTGCATGTGGTGCATTGAGGAAAGGCTGCACGAAACGTACCTCCCTCACTGGATCCTATTTAATATGAGCTTGTTTAGATGGTTGATCTAATGCTCCATATCTGTCATCTGTGCAAAGGAGCTTTACCTCTTTAATGGTGCTGCAAGCTGTTTTTATTTATCAGGCGCTCCATGTGACTTTGATGAAATATCTTTTCTCACAGCGTCTTGGTAACACATACGTGAGAACAGCAATGTTAGACATATTTATAAACAAAACCAGCATTATTAAAAACAGCGAAATTCCCAAATGGGTTAAATAAATATCATTATCTTAACTTAAATGCATAAATAATTAGCCTTAAATACTCTTTGTTCTGTGCCATAAGAGCTAAATAGTGTTAGTCTTCTGCAAGACAGAGGATTCATGATTTTATCTGTTTTTTTGTACTATAAAAAACATTGTTCAGAACCCTGCATTAGATTCTCGGTTGTATTTTTTGTCTGTACTTTGAGTGAGCCACTCTAATACATTAAAATACTGTAATCGTATTGTTTCAAGAGGGAAAGGTCTAGATGCAATGTACTGCTGGAAGGTGAACTTACATCACTTCTTTAACTGTATTCTTTAGTAACATGCGAGGCCATATTTCTGACATCTGAAGACCCAAACCGGTTAATACGAGAAACGATGATGAACGAAGAAGATCGTTGATTGTTTTGGCTGAAAAGAGAAAAGTGAGATGAAGCAATAATCCAGTCAAAGCTCAGACCTCAACCTAATTGGAAATGCTGTTCATAAAGAAATGACTCCAAGCATATGGTCTAGAGAAGCAGTTGGCAAATAGTTCCCTACAACAACATTGGTGACTTTAAGTCATGCAAAAAATAAGTTTGAAGTTTTTATAACATCTTTAATCAGAAGGAGGGTTTGGTTTGTATACATAAAGTCTGTTTCTTAAGGTTTTTTTTTATACCGGTAATATATTTTTTCAGTACTTTCTCTTGATCTGTGCTGTATCACGATGACCTCTGACACCTAACCTTTCAATCACGTTTCCATAGGTTCAAACCAATGCTTTCACCGTCATCTTCGATGAGCGTTTTTCCATCCCCATGGATCCGTCCGCCCTGGACGAGTACAGCCTGCGCTTTGCCGCCTTTGGCATCGATGCTGATGAAAGGAACATCAGCGCAGGCTTAGCAGAGCTGAAGCTGTCAGACCTGGACCTGACCATCCGACCTTTCAACGCCTGGCTCTACCTCCAGGACGTCAACAAGGTCTGGTGGGGAGTTGGAGGGTTATATGTGGCAGTGAGAGTTCACAATGCAGACAAGGATGTTGCAAAAAAGAGGCTGACCTGATTATTCAGATACATCCTCAAACAGAAAATTACCTTTTTACATTGTCAGCATGATGTGGTGTTTTAGTCCCCCTGGAAGACACTAGACGGAACTACATGTCCGCTTCAATAAACAACCTTCTGCAGAAGGTCAAACATACATTTTATCGACAACAATCCAGGACTTGTTTTTTAGGATATTAAAGACAGAAAATAAATAAATAAAGGAAATTCTATTTTGCCTTAGAAAACATTGGACTTAAATGCTGCCTGGTCTGAGGTTAAGTCACGGATACATCTGGGCTTTTTACTGTCTTTGCATCAGAAGAAACACTTCCTCTTTTAGATTATATAGGATTACATCAAAAAAGTCTTTCATATTTAGATCCCTTATATTTGAAAGGATTTCCTGTGAAACTGTATGACATGGGTCAGTAGTTTTCAGCAAACTTCTATAAGTTTCTAAAAATAGTTTGGAGGAATTTTTGCCCATTCCTTTCCTGCAGGTTAAAGGCTTCCCTACTTCAGCACAGCTGATTTTCATTCATAGCTGATTAACAGGCCTTTGCTGAACTGAAAGCATCAGCTGTGCTGAAGCTGATAAATATTGGAGACTTAGATGACCGCTGCCATCAAAGACTTTGACTGCCTGCTTCAGACTGAACCATTGAAACTGAGTTAAGCTCATAGACCATCTTGGTTAGACACCCAAATCCACTATGTACTGAAGTCAGGGCTTTGGGATGGACCCTTTCATTTCTAAACGAGTTGAAACTACTCCCTTATTTGCTGCCATCCTCTTACACCCCAGCTAGGATGTTCTTAGGGTTGAAAACTTTTTTTTCTCCAGATGTAATGATAGTTATTAAGGATTGAACTGTATCTTTCTCAGAATGTAGACTACTTCTCCAAGATGTTTGTACATGAGCGCATTTATAAACTGTAATCTGGCTTTTTATTACGCCTTTGGAGTAAATTTGTCTTTATGTGTCTCTTCAGACCATGTTGTAGGTAAAAGATTTGTTTTACTTTTCACGCTTTAGACTGAATATTTTCAGTTATTTTGTTTGTTAGCTCTTTTTATTCTGGGTAGACCATTTCACTGCTAAACACAGAGAGGACGGTAAAGATGAGTTTTATTTTTGAAGAGTGAAATATTTGGATATATTTGTAGAATTGATACTTGTGAATGGCTGCATGGACAGATTAGCCCCGCCCCTTTAGCCGCTCCAGGATGTCTTTTTAAAAGAAACGGGTTGTTTTAACTGTTGGTTTCTTGTAAACTCGTTCACAGATGAGAGGGCTTACAAAGCCGCAGCATCATCATCTGTTTCTAAACAGTTTAAAAACACCGTTTTCTTTGTGTATGCAAACTTCTGACCTTGGAAAAAAATAAAACTGATTTGGTAAATAGAACACAAAAACAGGAAAAGTTTAGTATGAATGAATTATCCAAAACTATATAGCATCTTTTATTTCAATTATTAATTAAATTATTAAAAAAAGAGCTTTAAAGTTGAATATTTAGTTTGCTATTTTAATCCTTTAACTGACTGATTTTTCAATTTCCAAATGTGCTTCTTGTTAAAATTCAAATTTACTTGAATAACGCCTTATTATAAAAATCTTATGAATGATTGAGCTCATGGTCGAGCTGCAGCAACTCCAACACTCACCCCTGCTACTGAAACAAACTTTTTTTAGAAGTGTCCCCTGGTCTGATGCATGTGGGGTCAACTTATCTGTGTGTGTGTCCACAGGCAGTGGATGCGGTCGGGGAGATTTTGTTGTCTCTCAGCTATTTACCAACAGCAGAGCGCCTCACTGTGGTCGTGGCCAAGTGCAAGAATCTGATTTGGACCAACGAGAAGAACACAGCAGGTGAGGAGAGTCAGTTTGGTGTTTGTGGTTTACTAAATAACGTCGCTCAACTGAAGAATTTAAAGTTACATTTAAAGAAAATGTTAGGTTCAATCAGTTGTTTTATTTTATGCTTTCAAAAGATAAAGTAGGTTAAAACTTTTATACATGACTGAGTAATAACAAGTTACAAAAGCTATGAATTGCTTGGGAACCATCATTTAAACACAATGTTCACCCACTTAGATCAACAGATCTAATGTGTACAACACTAAATTTATCTGCTCCATTTTTTTTATTGTTTTATTTATTTCATTTTTCACGCTCAGCCAAATAGGTGGGATGGTCTCTTTAGTTTTAGTGTGTTTTTTATTTGTATTTTAGAAAGCATTAAAACCGCCTGTTAATTTTTTCTGTTTCTCCACCATCAGATCCGTTTGTCAAAGTTTACCTCCTGCAAGATGGCAGAAAGATCAGCAAGAAGAAAACCTCCACGAAACGAGATGACACAAACCCCATCTTCAATGAAGCCATGATCTTCTCCGTGCCATCCATCGTTCTGCAGGTGATACTTTAGACTTTTATCAGAAAGAGAACTTTCAGGTGGAGGAAAGGCAAAATGCTCCCTTTATTGTTATTAAGGGTGTCCCAATACTCCTTTTTCATACCTTATTGATATTATGAGTATTGACCGATACCGTTTTTGACCCAATACAATATCTGTATGAATCATACTTGCTTTCGTTAGACAAACTAAAGTTAATATTACCATGCTAATATCTGAGAATTCAGATGCAAGCCAATATACTCAGGGAACACTTTTTTTGGCTGATATCGGGCCGATATCGATATTGGATCGAAACGTTCCTAATTGTTACTTTTAAAGTTCCAGAGTTGCTATGCATGTTTTATATATTGGAGTTAATTGCATTTATTTAAAAGAAATAAAGAGCCTTTAAGAGGAATAAAAAGAGGTGTAATAAACTGAAGTAAGTTCAGTGTTTAAAGTATAGTTTTAAACAGAAAAAAAGTAACACTTTACAATAAGCATAATTTATAAATGTTAAAGCTATACTTTATTAATGATTAACAGGTAGTTATTAATGTCTGATTGTCATTTATAAACTGCATCTGAACAATTTATAAATATTGCCCTGCCATGTTAGTTTAACATCAGTGGAATTAAGACGTAAACCTAGCCTTTGTTTTTTTATTTTACTTTCACTGTCATGTTGGTCTAACCCTTATTCTAACATCAGTAGGTTTAATATGTTAGTAAATTATCTATTCCCTTTTTATTAATGTTTTAGGTGGAGTTTATAAATGAATCAAACATTAAAAAACTTTTATTAGCGGGTTGCTACGATGGTTTTGTAAAGTGTAGGTGAAAACAACTGTTAAGGAAAAATCTTTTATTATAATTTTTTTTTCAGGATTTTCCTTTACGTCTATGCAAGGATCTGGGACATTTCATTGGCAGATTTGTTGGGTCCTTTGTTTTATCCAGTTATTTATTCAGATTTATATCACAGGTTTTATCCTAAATTATTCCCTTTGAAAGAATCTTGTAAGCAGTTCTTAAAGGGATAGTTCGGGATTTTTGACATGAAT